ATTTTTAAATTATACAGTCTCATGTCAATATACATTTAAATATATATCTGACATATATAGTCCCATCAATGTTAGATATGACTTTGTGAATATTAAATTACTCAAATCATTAGTTTTTTAGAACCCTCAGAAGTTGAATCGCAAGATGAATGGAGTATTAGGAAGCTACAAATGCTACATACAGTTTGTATCCGTGAGTGCATTATAAAAAGGGTTGCTAGGAAGAGTTCCTTTCAGAGATGATGATGTTTCATTACCTTTCTAAAGTTTCCCATCACTAGCACATCTTTCATTCCTTCTTAGAATTTCTATGTCTACTTTAGCCACTGAACGTTAGCATATTAATGACTTTTTATTTAATTTACTGATTTACTCTGCCATCTATCTATCTATCTATCTATCTATCTATCTATCTATCTATCTATCATTTCTCTATCTAAATATTTATCTCCTTCCTACTAAACTGCCTGTCTATCTAGACCTATCTATCATTCATGCCTAGCTGCCCTTAAACCTTGCCTACTCAAGGATGGCTATGAACATTGATTCTCCTACCTCTACCTCCTGAGTCCTGGGATTTCAGACATTTCTAGTTTATGTGGTGCTGGGGATCAAACCTAGGGCTTCATGTGTGCTAAGCAAGTGCTCTATTAAGTGAGTCACATCCAGCCCCAATTCTCAGTCTGATCACATCAGCACCCCCTCATGTCTGAATCTGGTGGTGATGCTTGCTCTGTGTGCTCAAACTGGTTTGGACCTTTACTATGCCTCGTGGGTTTTTTTTTTTTTTTTTGATAGTTGGGCATGATGTACCAGAGAAAAAGGGCGCCTATAAATTGCTCTTTTGTGATATAGTGATAACGTTTAGTAGGAGGAGGAAGAGGAGGCATTCTTAATCCTATGACTAATCCTTAATGTTTCAGGAAGCGTGAACTTCTGGAATGTGACCTTCACAAGGGTTTTTGTTTTCTTTTCCTTCCTCCTTTGGTGGGACATGTTTGCTAAAATGGGTTGGATCTGGGCATTTTACTCCCCACCTTGTCAGATAGGCTTTGATAAAATTCCAGCAGGTTTAAATGGTTTATTCCTTCTGTGGGAAGCAGGTTCATTGTGACCTGCTCATTAACTTGCCTGACACAAAACACACAAAACAAAGTCCATGAATCAAGTTTATTATTTACAGAGAAGTAGTAAGAAACAATGGAAGACTGGGATTCATTATGAGCAGGTCCTACAAGGCTTGGCAAGGCTAAGGTTGGGTAGTGTTTTGCCTCTTGGTGCCTCCCCTGCATTGCAGCCAACTCAACCCTGGGGATTATGCCTAAAAGCAAAGTGGCTGACTAATTGGGCTAGAGAATTAATATCCCTTTTGCAGGTGTGGTAGGAAAAGAGCCCCCATCTGTTCTTCCCAGTTCCTCCTTATTTCAAGATCTCAAGATGCTCAGCAGGTCCAAAGAAACAAAGAGTAGAAAACTGAATGTTCTAAGTCACGTGGAGCATGGTCCTATAGCCTCTTTCCTTGACCCAAATAACCCATCATAGAAAAAAAATCTTTTGAAATCATGCATGTGCATGTGCACATGCATGGGCTGCCTAAGTGGGGCCAGTGTGTGTGTGTGTGTAGGCCAGAGGCTCAACTTCACTGTCAGTCCTGGTCCTCCCTATTGTTTGAGACCCCATTTCTTTTGTTGTTGGCTGCTCATATAAGCCAGGCTAGCTGCTCCCTGGAATGATACCTTTCTGGGGGAGAACTGACATTGAGGTGTGTGCTACCATTCTCAGTGTTAGATGAGTTCTAGTGATGCAAACTCAGGTCCTCACATTTGCGCAGTGAGTTGTTTACCCACTGATCCATGTCTCTAGCCCACTAGTCTGTTTCATAGGCACACCAGGCTCTCAGGATGTGGAGGCAGAAATTAGTGTCACTTGATTTGTCACATCTTGATATAATCTCAGTGGAAGACAGGAAGGCATAATACACCTCACTAAGTCCAGGAAGATCACAACCATAGAACACCCTGTTCACATGGTGACCCAGTTCCATCAGTAATTCAGAGAACTCACTGCCAAGGAAGCAAAGAATCTTGTGGGGTTTCCACTGTGGTCCACCTGCCTGTGTCTCCTCCTGTTTTACCTCTGTGGTACCCCAGGTGTTTATGCAGAAGCTGTACAGAGGTTAACAGTATCACACATTCCTCCCACCTGCTCTAAAAGTCTAGCAGATAGGTTTGATTTGTGGTCCAGTAGTCCTCATTCAGCTGGATTTGTGCTGCTCATACCCCTAGGAGTGGGATATCTACTGGAACATGGTTGATCTACCAGGAGACACACCCTTAAATAAAACTGATGGTCTCCAGAAACCATCAACTGTTCACAGCAATTTGGTTAGGGATGATGGCTCGTGGGCACCTCTCTGGAACCTCATGCTAGAATGTTAACTGGCTTGATCTTGCGTGGAAAACCACAGCTGCTGTGAGTTTGTGAGTGCAATAGCCCCTGTTTTGTTTTGTTCCTCCCCAACTTTTGGATCTAGCAATCTTTTTAATTCCCTGTTCCCTGATGGTTCCTGGACCCTGGGGGAGAAGTAATATGTATGGTATAGATGAAGTTCACTAACACTGACTTTTTAGTCATGAGCTTCTGTGTTTAGCACCATCCATATCACAGTTATTTTAATTGGTGATCTAATCATTCAGTCTTCGCCATGTGAGAACCTGTGGAGTCTATTCCTTCCATAACCCTCGGGGTATTGGAGAGTCTGACATTTGATAAGGCACACTTCTTTGGTAATCAGCTCTCAGCCACCTCCCCAAGGAGTTCCTTTTTTTGTGGGGACTGATACTGCAAAGCCACAGCCTGGGCTCAGCTGCCTCCAGCAAAGTTTACCCAGATTTCCTGGACGAACATCATGGAATTTAGGATATGGGCATCTATTGCCTAAATCCAAAACAGACAGTGACAAAGGCTTTGCTACAAAGGGGAAAATTCCTTTGTTTGTCAAAGATTTCACAATTGTTTCTCAATTTAGAGCAGTGGTTTTCCACCTTGCCTACATATAAATACAGATGCCCACATCTATCCCAAGTTACTTATTTAACTGGACTAGGGTTTTGTCTGAAAAACAGGGTGTGTGTGTGTGTGTGTGTGTGTGTGTGTGTGTGTGTGTGTGTGTAGGATTTATGGCTCTGCCACTCTGTCTTATCTGCTTTTGATGATCTGTCTGTGAACTTAACATTTGCTGTTTCTTTGACTAGGCTGCCTGTCCAGCAACCCCCAATGATCCTCTGTCTCTCCCATCTTCACCCTCTAGTGCTAAGTTTATAAGTGTACACAATTATGCCTGAATTTTATGTGGGACTAGAGATCTGAACTCAAGTCCTCATGCATGCATAGCAAGCACCATTACCCATGAGCCATCTCTTCACTCCCCAGACATGGAATTTTAAAGTACCAAGCTCCTGGATGGGACTCAATGTTGCCTACTGTAGTTGTCATTCTGTGCTTGTTTTGACACTTTACTGTGTTTGCATGGAGCCCTGAAACATACTGTTGGCATGTCTTAAACATGTGTGTGAGTGGAATTCTACTAGCCACCAGTCTTCTGAGCACAGTTACGGTGTGAACAAGCTGATACTTACTCCTCTAACTCATTTCTTATCACCGTGTCAGCAAATCAAATTTTTCCACTGCTCTATCGTCTTCTGCTCTTCCTTGTTACAAATCATACAAGAAGTTAGCTGTTGAGGAAAAACAGTGGGGTCAACCTTGATTCCTTGATCTCACATCCCTCGTCCAGGATCCTCTTGGCTGTGCTTTCAATCCACTTGGCTTCTGACAGTTTTCAATGCCAGCATTGTCTGTGTTGTTCCTGCTACTCTTATCTGTCCTCTGGATCCCAACCCAATTTGCCAGTGGTCTCTCTGCTTTCCAGCTTATATGGCAAGCAGCCAGAATACTAGACATTGGGTACTAGAGTCCCAGGGAGTACAGTTTCAGGGAAAGAAGTCATATCAACCCTGTGAGTACCAGAAGAATATTGCCTCAAAGACTACAGAATCCAGCACAGCAGGGGCTGTGCATATTCCACAGAGCCATCCCCACCCAAAGTCAGACCCATGTTATTCTTGGTCCTAAGCCACGCTCTTCCATTCACTCTGCATATTTAGCCCTTATTTTGTCTCCTTTCCTGTTTGACTGCCAGCCTGTCTTCTCCTGTTTTCCTAGAGGGCAGATTCTAGCCTGATCTTCTGATTCCCACACCCACCTCTCTACCATTGACCCACTTGGTAGAGGAAGGCAGGGAAACTCTTCTGAGGGTTCTGCCCATCTTAAACTCTTTTTTTTCCCAAGACAGGGTTTCTCTCTGTAGCCCTGGCTTGGAACTCACTCTGTAGATTAGGTTGGCCTCGAAATCACAGATATTCGATTGCCTGTACCTCCAAGTGCTGGGATTAAAGGCATGAGCCACTACTGCCAGGCTCTGACACTATACTTCTAAGACAAAATTCAAACATAGCAAATGGATGGAGTTCTAATTCATCTTCGGCATGACCTTCTTTTTCTGGTGTACCAGATTAGGCCATAAGAACAACATGAAAGTAGTTGCTAAATTTAAATGCAGAGACTGTTCCTCCAGAGAGGACAGCAAAGTTACTAACAAGCATGATGGAATGCATATTTTTCTGATCATTTTCAACCCCCTTAGATCTCAGTCACTAGAGCTGTCCTTCCTTGCTGCATATGCCAGGAGACTATAGATATTCCACTTTTATCCAACAATATGGTTACTCTTTTTTTGTTGCTCATAAACAGAAAACCTTGTGTCTTGCTAGGTGTGGTGGCTCATTTCTGTAGGTCCTGAACTTAAGAAGCTGAAGTAAGAGGAACAAGGAAAAGAAAAACTTGTGTACAGAGGTGATTTCTGATGCATATTTTTATTAGAGCCAGGGGTGACAGCTTTTTCCAATGAAACAATCTCTGAGATCAGAATGGAAGACCACAAGAAACTTCACTTTGTAATTCACCTTTATCAAACTGTCCTGGAACACAGCAATTGCTATATGAGGTCCTGTGACATTACATAACAAGTTGTTAACAGAAAGCACACCAAGCAAAACGCCTTATATTCTGGAATTGTCAAGTCAGTTATCAATTTTTCTTAGAAGTGTGTTGTGTGTGTGTGTGTGTGTGTGTGTGTGTGTGTGTATGTGTGTGTATTGGTGTCCAACCCAGGGCTGTGTGCATGTTAGATTAATGTTCTACCACTGAGCAGTTTCTTAGCTCCACTTTTCCTAGATTTTAGATTTTTTTCTTATATATGAAAATGAAATTCACCTCAAATACCAGAACCCAGGCTATATTCATTTGAAAGGAGATATAGCAGTCAACTTTAAGCCTTGGATTTTCTAGGTCTTTCTCAAATAACTCTCACTGATTTGCTAGATTTTAATCAGTTTCATCTGGGACCTATTTGCCCTGCTGGACCTACACAGAAGACATTATTAATCTATCACCAAACCCCAGTGAATATGGTGCAATGGCTCCTAGGTCTTGGGGTCATGATGGATACACAGCTCGTCTGGTGAATACACGTGAAGGCCCCATTCTCTCCCAGCCAACTGTTATACATGATCAGCTTTTCCCTGAGGCTGGAGTCTGTGGCTTGATCTTCTTTACAGCCTCCAGAACAGAGAGTGGGTTCACTTTGTCTCCAAATTCTTTTTCTCGGTGCTCAAGAAGAATGCCCTAAAGCAGAAACAGGAAGGGCTGTCAGTTTTTACTCACAAAACAGACTCTGAGCACCAGCTGTCCATCAAGCTCTGTGCTTGGGCAGCCAAGAACCCAGATCTGAACCAAACCCAGCACCTGCCCTTGAGGAGTCCAGTCTTTTGAGGAAGGGGACTGAGGAAGCAACATCCCAGTACTTGGCACACATGAAGACAGGCATGGTTAATTACAAAAAGGGTGGGTGGAAGGCTTCCTTGGTGACAGGCAGATAAAAGTACATTCTATATGGAGAGAAGAGAATGCAAACAGAAAAAACCCTATGAAGTAGAGCTCAGAGGGCACTTTGATGGATGCTAAATGACCATCTGAGGAATGATGGCTCCTTCCTTTAATCCTCTTAAGAAACTGGGGTCACACTTCCAATACTATGAAGAAAATGCACTAAGACACAGGATATTCCAGTTACTCTGAAGTAGTAAAATGATATCATCAGGAACCATCAAAATTCTCTAACTCACTTTATCTGGACACTAGCCTTAAATTTTAAATGATCTACGATCTGTAATGTGTGATCTACGATCTGTGTTCTATCATTATAAAGACCAAGAGAGAGAGAGAGAGAGAGAGAGAGAGAGAGAGAAGGAAGAGGAGGAGGAGTCAGGTAGACAAGATGGCTTATGACTTGTCAGTAGAGGCACTTGCAATATACAGGGCTAAAAACCTGAATTCAATCCCTGGATCTTGCATAGGGAGGTAAGAGAGAAAGAACTCCTGATAGTTGTCCTTTGACCTCCACACACACATTGTATATGTATGCATACATACATACATACACACACACACACACACACACACACACATTTTAATTAAAAGCCCACCATACTGTGCTGACTATCGGGAAGTGAATGAGGAAACTGCAATTACTTGCTCAGTAATCCAAATGCAGGCAGTGAAGAATGTACAATGGCATGGGAAATGGTCAGGATCACAGCTGAGAAAGCAAGCAAGCCAACTGCCCTCAGCTCTGTCCCAGTTGGTTGTCTTTAGTACCTGACAGGAAGCCACCCACCTTCCACTATTTGGTTCTTTTTAGAATCTCTGTGTGGCATATGCATTTCTTTAAAGTAACTAGGCTTCACAATCATTATTCACACCTAGAGGAACTTGACATTATGGGTGCAGGAACATCTCCACCAGGAACGCAGGTGAGTCCTGATGCCCAGTCATTTCAGTTCACCCTCCACCTTCCCAGAAACTCCACAGAGAACCAACAAACACCACACCTAACAACACCAGGAATGTGCTAGCCCAGCCATGAATACCAAGTGAGTCAACACCAGGCAGGAAAAGGCTGGCAGGTGTGCCAAACCCTGCCCTAACGGCCATCACAGGAGGCAGAGGTAAGACAATGAGACCCACCGGGGCCAGAGTAGGAAGAAGAGGGGCACCATGTAGGGTCATCTGGACCAGGTCACCGAGAACCACTTCTGGGGACAATGTGCAGATGCAGTGAGGCGGTAACTTTCTGGTTCCTGAACTTAGTTTTTCTTGTGCTGTTTGCCAGCCTTGCCTCTGGCTGACTGGCTTCCCAACTCTAGGCCCACTTGCTTACATGGAGATGGGAAGGAGAAAAACTAACATCTAAGACTGGTCATATGGAAGACACAAAACCATATATATTTGTGTGTGTGTGTGTGTGTATACACATACATATATACACACATACATACATACATACATACATACATACATACATACATATATGGTGCTTGGCAGCCATTCCCATTAAGACACTTTGATATATTTACTAGAAATAAACAAACAGAACTATGTCAAATTAGACACCATTTAATGCTAAATTCTAATACCAATAGCTAAGAACAATACCCTGTGGCGTTTTTTTTTTTTAAAGATTAGAAATAAAGATTAACACTCAAAGATGTCTAGCCTCATTCTTATTTCTCCTATGTTGTGAGGTCCAACAATGTAGACAAAGGCTGCTTTTCTACAGAAACAAAACAAAACAACAGAAATCTAACCACTCCCTACACATGTGCTTGTCATAACCAAGGCTTCCAGTCAGGCTTGTCTCCAGGTCTTCCTTCTGTGACCCATGCCTGCTATATGCCTCTCTTTTCCATATTCTTCCTCAGGGCCCCCACATTGATTCTGGGTCCTCACTGCCAGGACTCCTAACACCCTATTCATAGTGGAATTGGTTCTCTCTCCAGGCACAGCCCTCACACCAAGATCTTCACAGGAAAAGCATGGTCTTTCTGATTCCTTCTCGCCAGCTCTTACTCATCAGGCTGCTTTCCCCCCCCTCTCCTCTTCTCTTTTGTCCATATCCATCCTTGATGGTTTGGGAAGTGCCAATTGAGTATATTCACAAATAGGATAAAAGCGAGGTATCTGGTTGAGAAGGCCTGGACTCAGGCCCCTGCAGTGCCACCCTGGACCAAGCTAATTGATATAGCTGCTTGCCGCCTCTCAGTAGAGTTCACCATCTGCAGTGTGAGCAGTGTGACTGTCTCCTGACATGACTATAAAGTGTGTGTGTGAGATGTAAGCGTACAGCAGATGTGTGATCAGTGACAACTGCTGGGAGAAAGGTTGGCTGACTCTAAACAGGAGATCCCTGCCCTAATGTCAGCCCCTGTCTGCAGCCTCAATTCCAGAAACCCACAGGTCAGTGGTAAGCACAGATCTTACCTGTTTTCCAGATCCTATCACAAAAACCCCTCCGAGGATGAAGCCTTCACCTTCCAGGTTTCCAGAGAAGCCTCCATTCCAGGCCCGGAAGGAGTTGTACCACACACCCAAACGGATGAGGCCCATGAACATCATCTTCCTCCTCTCTGGACCATAGAATTTTTTCTATGGAGCAAAGAAGATCTTGGGTGAGCAGTCTGCATGTCTTTCATCCCCGGGAAGGGTGCCAAAAGCCCAAAGCCCCAGAGCCTGCTACTTCATGTTCTTTCTCTAGCCTAAAACATCACTCCACTCAGGGTCACAGTCAACTGCCTAGGGAAATAAAAATCTGCCAGCACTAACTTCTTAAAAAAAAAAAAAAAAAAAAAAAAAAAAGGAAGAAAGAAAGAAAGAAGGAAAGTAAAAGGAAAAAAGAAAGACGAAAAAGACTGTATTTTATTATTTGATGTTATTTTTGTGATGAGAGATTGAACCTAGGGCCTTGCCCATGTTATGGAAGCACTCTGCCACTGAGATCAACTTCAGGTCTCAAGGTAGTTCCAATCTGAGGAAACTCTGCTTTCACTTTCTCACTCTCCTTACAACATTGTGCGAGTCTATACATGTAAGTGAAGTGTTCACAGAGGCCAGAAGAGGGCGTTGGATCCCTAGGAGCTGGCATTACAGGCATTACACTCAAGATGGGTGCTAGAAACCGAGTGAGGGTCCTCTGATAGAACAGGAAGCACTCTTAAGCACTGAGGCATCCCGCAGCCATAACACACTCACTTTTTCATCCAGGAAGATGTCCCCTTTGAAGTAAGGCTGGAAGTCCTTCACTTCTGCTTTAACCTGCTCCTTCACCACGGCATAGAGAGGGACACCTAGTTCATCCAACTTGGGCTTCAGGGAGGACAGATCTGCTGCCTCCTATAGAAAACAAGAAGGTTCAGGGACATGAGCACTTGGAGCTGTGCTGTTAAAAACAAAACAAATCATGGCCCAGGGCATGGCTGATACTAAGCAGAGAAATAAAGGTGACAAAAATACCAGAAACAACTCAGGCCTTGTAGCCCAGCATGTCTCTGTCCTAGTTAGGCACTAGACCTTGGGACAGGGTTTCATGTGGAGTTCCAGGTTTCTTATTTTCTCAAAGTGGGAAAGAGAGCTATGCCCAGGGAGCCTTTAGAACAGTGGCTGCTCCCAATGTACTCAACCAGGACAAGTTTTGTGACCTCATCTTCCAGCTCATTCCTGCACGAGACCAAACCACCCAAGGGTCCATCAGACACATGCATGCTGGCCATGTGACTGTGGCCTCCACCAGGTTTCTGTGCAAGCCCCACCCCATAACTCTGCTAGAAACTTCCTTCTCTTTCCAGCTCTAATCTAACTTACTGGAAAGGTATCCTTGTTTTAGAAAGACCTCCTGGACCTGTCCTACATTGCAAGCATGTTCTCTGCTATCTGCTTGTGTTTTTTTTTTTTTTTTTTTTTTATGCTAAGCCTTCATGTCATCATCAGGCACTGTCACTTAGATTCCTAAGTATGTCTTGCTGTTAGAAATCCTGTCTTTTGTTTCATAGACACCTCAGTGCCTAGAAGACGGCTGGATGTTTGGAGGTACTGAATACTTGGTAGAAAGAGCTAAAGATGGACAGAGAAGAGGATGTGGCAGAGTTGAGTTGATACAGACATCTTTGACCCCTGCGAACCATGTACTGGAAGAATAAACAATACTGCATAAGTCATGGGAAGTCTTCAACCCAAAGAATCACCTCCCTTTTCACATTAGATGTTGTAATTAAAGAATCACCAGGAAGTTTTTTTAAATGTAGCCTGCCCACCTCTGATATAAGTTCAGTGTGACAAGAGAGCTATGTTTTCTATAATAAGAAAAAAGAAACAAAAGCATAGCTAGACAAAACAGAATTGATTACAACATATTTATCAAGAACTCTACTGAGTAGCAAAGTTTGACTGGAGCAAAAGGGACAGGCTCTGATACGGTTGAAGACCACCTGTTGGCGATGTGGTTCACTGCTTTCCTGGGCCTCTTCCCCTGGGTATGTCTCTATGTAAAGCCATTGAGAGGAAACAGAGTCATATAACCCCTGCCCACGCGGCTGTTGAGTCATTCATTTCTACCCACCCACCTTTCTAGACACTGTAAGTTTCCACAAAATGTTGTTCCAGGGCACAGAGAAGAACACCGGAAAACAGGCTGCAATTACCAAGAGTTGTTGATCCTGGAACCCCCTCTGTGTTACTGGCTTCAACAGAAGCCAGAACAGCTTCTCTGCTGGTGTCTGGAGGCATGTCAGAGTTGGAATTAAAAGCCCTAGCTTTACCCTCCACCTCCAAGATGAAAGAAAATGATGAAACCCTAAAGATGACCAACTCTGAATGCCTGTGACCTGTCACATGACCAGGGAGACTAACAGGGCACTTAGCTTCACAACACCTGACCTTAAAGTAGGAAGATCTTGTGTTAATTGGATGTGTCCAACGTCATCACTGGGGTCTTAAATGTAAGAGAGGAAGAAAGTCAGTGTTGTAAGTATGTGTCGTGACAATGACTTGAGCAGCTATTGCTGACTTCAGAAACAGAGGGAGAAACCACAAGCGAAGAAAATTGGTGGGCTTTGGAAGGGTGGAAAAGGCATTTCTGGACTTCTTACTACAGCTTCCAGGGGAATGCAACCAGACTCCACTTAAGAACTCTGACCTCCAGCCTGTAAGATAACAGCTGTTAAAGCCACCATATGTGTGGCATTTTGCTACAGCAGCAATAAGTGAACACACAATAAGCAGGCATCTTGGCTTTGTGGAACCTCTGTACCCACTGTCTCCTCTGTAAAATAAGAATGGTGTAAAATAAGAATGGTGACAACAGGTTGTGTCTCCAAGATAACCTTGAGAAGCCCTGCACAGGCAGGGGACGTAGCCCAGTTGGTAGAATGTTTGTCTAGGATACATGAAACCCTGGGTTTAATGTCATGAAAAATGGACATGACAATGCATGTTCACAGTCCCAGTACTCAGGAGGTAGAGATGGGAAGACCAGAAATTCAAGGGCTACTTAGCAAGTGAGGTCAGTCTGGGCCACATGAGATCCTATCTTAAAAAAAAAAAAAAGTAAAAAAAAAAGAGGTGCCTTGATGGTAAGGTGTTGCAAAATGTGTGTGTGTGTATATCTGTGCACGTACTCACTCAGCATTATCAGTGGATTCTTTATCATAAGCAGAAAGAAATCTCTTAATGTTGGACCAGGCTTCCAGAAAAATGAGAGTGATGATCTTGACAGGGCCAAGGGGACTGCTTGAGGAGCCAAGTGGTTTCAATGGCAAGAGAATCCTAGTCTATTTTCTCCTAGTCAAAGGAGTTATCTCAGAATTTGGGGCGGGCCTAAAAACTACCCTGTCTCTCTTTTTACTCATTTATAGAGTGACAAGGCCAGGCGCAGGCCACTGCAAAACTCCTTGTTGCACTAGTATTTTGTCTCTAGATTATCGTAGTTCCTGCCTTGATAATGTGTTTTCCATTACTGGAATGGCTTCCATTGGAGTGGCCAACCAGGAACCACCCTGCAAGTGAGCCTCAACTTCACCCACGCTTACAAACCAAACGCATGCACATTAGTGGTATGACTAAAATCCTGCTCAGCGAAGAGCTGCCATGATCTACAGTGGAAATGGACTCCAGTGGGTCCCAAGAAGCACACACACACAAATGCTCTGAAGTGCCTCCTTGGGGGAGGCCTCTGAATGCTGCAGCTTCATCACATAACACCTAATGGTTGACAGTGAGGTTTCCTTATCTCTCCAGACCATTATTTCAACAAGTGAGCATCTATGTTGACCAACAGGAACTCAGAATTTCCTCCTTTTGCTGTTGCTGTCCTGGATTAAATGAAAAGGCTGTGCAGGACATGGCTGATACCATATTGGGCAAAAGGTCTGAAGGACAGTGAAAGCAGATTTGTTACTAACAACACCAGGATATATATATATAAAGTTGTTAAAAACAGGATTAGGGCCAATGTCAAAATAAATGCATAGAGCAAATAACAGAAGCATCCAGAACTGACAGAAGGCTCAAGAGAACACATAAGCCCTTGGTCCTGGTTGAAAATACTCCAGACCCCACTGTCAGAATGCTTTCCTTCCAACAGATCCTCAAAGGCACTCACGGCTCGACAGAGGAAACAGCCTGGCCTTCGCACAGCCATAATCACAGCCCCATTCTTCGCCCATAGCTCCTTTGCTTTGAATGTCCTTGGTTCTGAAAGAGAAGAAATACAGAGGTACTATCTCCTTCTAGGCCTGCCCAGTCCTTCACCAATCACTGGAATGCTCCTGAACTACACTGAGACAAGCTCAGGCAAGAACCCAGCCTAGGAGCGGACCAGGATGAGTCCAGGAGAAGATGGCAAGCACAGACAGGGAAGACTCATCTTCCCAAGTAAGATCCCAACGTGCACTCCAAAGGTTCCTATCCCATGAAAATCAACTTTCAACAAGAACATGCAAAATGCAATAATTTCAAGCAAAATGGCAATTCTATTTATGGCTAGCAACACTGGACACTGTATAATACTGTGGAATCCACACTAAATTTTATATTTGACACCCCTCCCAAAAACATCCTTAAAGGCATATTCAAAAGGATGAACAATTAAAAATTTGTTTTTCTTGGTATTTTTTTTTTTCTAGAAAGGGTTTCTCTGTGTTGACCCAGCTGTCCTGGAACTCACTCTGTAGACCAGACTAGCCTCAAACTTAAGAGACTGGCCTGCCTTTGCCTCCTGAGTGCTGGTATTAAAAGTATGAGCAATGGCTGTCCAGTGAAATCAACAGTTTTTTTTTTAATTAGTCAAAATACGTTAACTGCAATGCTTGCATTGTTATAAACAGAATAAAGTGGAAGACACTCAATAAGGAGATGCTAGGGAGAGTTAGTGAGAACTCATGAATGGACCTTAATTATTTTAGTATTTCCCACAGTATCCAAGTACCTGTGAGATGCAGTGTGAACAAAACAGGGGAGAGGAGAGGCTGGAGTCACATGAGGCTTTTATTATTATTATTATTTTCTTATTTTACATATCGATTCCAGTTTCCTCTACCTCCCATGCCCTCTGGTCACCCCTTCCCACTCCCCCCCCCCCCACTCCACAGGGAAGGTGATGCCTTCCAGGAGGGATCAACAAAATCTGTCAAGTCATTTGGAGTAGAGACTAGGCTCTTATGAGGCTTTTAAAGATGAACAAAGCTGAACAAAGCTTGGCAGCTCTCTCTCCCTGTCATGAGTCAGAGCTACCACACTCCCTCACCTACTGAAAGTATGAGGATGGATTCTCTCTGGGGACAGTGGCCAGAGGACCACCTAATCAGTGAGCCTTCATGTCTACCAAGAAACTCCTGCCACAGCTGGATGCAGCTGAACCCCACTGAGCCTCAACTCCGTGTGGAATGCACTTGGCCAGGGTAGAGCTGGCATGGCTGAGACTCACAGCTCCTGCCATGGATTCCAGGTGGGGCCCTGAGGACAGGCACATGGGCTCCTGTGTCCTAAAATTCGGCTCGCTTGCTGCAGCTTTATCACAGGCAGGATAACCTTGAAGTGTCTACAGCTCCCCCAGACTCCCTATTTACAACATGCGTATGTTTATTGTGCACCAGGCCCTATACTAAGCATCAGGAACACAGAATTGGATAAGTAGTGTTTCTTGAGCTTATTCAACTCAGACAATTCTATTTATTATATCTTATTCTTTATGACATTATCAAAAGACTTGGAATTCCTTACAATACTCTCTGGAATAGCTGGCTTATTAAGTGATGATACAATATTACTAGATATTATGGAGCAATTTATCATTGCAGTTAAGGCAACAGTAATAGAGAATAAAAAATGACTTTGATAAGAAAAAGAGAAATTAGACAATAATAGCAAGATCACATTTATGTGACTATATGTAAGCATAGAAAGGAATATAGCAAAGTAAAAATGATTGCGTTGGGATGGTATAACTATTGGCAATTTAAAAATTGTTATTAGATTTCTCTCTAATATTGCTTCAAGAAAAAGGAACAATTTGGAGAAGAAAGCTAAAGAAGTTAAATATGCATCCTAGCACCCTGGAAAAATACTGAGGCTGGCAGTCACTCCTTACCTTTCTCCAGTGTTTTCAGGTCTATGTCTTCCAAATATTCCAGCTCTGCTTTCCGGGGCTTGGACAGAAATACGTCTGTGTTGGCCAGGAGCAGTGCCAGAGCAGCGGCCCCCAGGGCTCCGGCACCAATGGACCACATACCCATGGTGAAGAAACTTGGGTCCTGGAGGAAAGACATGTCTGGAGAATGAGAAGAAGGAAGATGTTACTGTTCCCACAGGCAGCTGGAATCTGACCTCTTTCCTACCCAAGGCAACCAGCCAGGGGGCCAGGGGAGGAGGGCCTGAAGGAGGAAGACAAGACTGATTGGAGCTGCTCAGCCTCTTATCTCAGCCTCACTGTGATAGTGTGGGAAAAGCACAGACACACAAAGGTTTGTATCTCAAGAAGCTCACTAGGGTAGCAAGAGTAATTAGAGAAATGACATCCTTCTAGGGGCTTCTCTTGCATCTCTGCCTCCCTGTGACCTGCTGCTGAGCCTGTCCTGTCCTGTGTATGTATCCCTCTCCTCAACAAACCTCATTTCCTTCTATGCACGACGGGTGACAAGTGGCTCAGCTATCACCTCCCTGGGTAGGGACTGCTTTCTCATCTGCGATCAGAAGATACTCGTTTTGGTACCCTGTCTTCCTCCTGAGTTTAAGAATTTCCCAGAAACAAGGGAGGCATTCTATTCATCAAAGCCCCAGTCACTGCCCAGCAGGGCCTCACTCAGGGTAGACTGATAATCTCAGCCAATTTCACCCAGCTGAGAATAGCTTTCTCACTCATTATAGAAATAGGCTTCTGTTAAAAACAAAACAAAACAAAAAAACAGTTTCAACTGGGCCAGTGCATAAAACCAGCTGACAAGAAAGCCAATATTCTCTGAAGCTTATCACCTAGAGTGGCTACTGTTAAGAACACCAGTATCTAAGAGGACATTCCTTCCACAGCCCAACCTCCCAAGCCACAAGCACTCGAATGCACGTACACACACACACACACACACACACACACACACACACACACGAGAGAACATAACTGCACTGATATTTGAATGTATGGCAGGGCAGAGAGTAGAGGCTGGTCATGTCAGAAAGAAAAAAATACTTTAGAAGAGGCTGAGCCAAAGGTGTCTACATAGGGAAGGAGGCCCTATGGAATCTAGCCTGGTCACCTCACTAGTAAGGCTCCCTGCTTCAGGGTGTCCTTGTCCTAGGTGGCAAATCCAGAATCACCCCTGTTATGGGATATGTGTACACTGTGAAGATATATTGCTTGCTATGATTGGCTTTATAAAGAGCTGAATGGCCAATAGCTGAGCAGGAGGTATAGGCAGGACTTCCAGGCAGAGACAGAGGAAGTAGGAGGAGATAGTCAAGGCACAGAGGAGACACCAACAAGAAACAGAGGGAGTCAGACATACAGAATGAAAGAAAGGTTAAAAAGGGCCACATGGTAAAATGTAGATTAACAAAAGCAGGTTAATTTAAGTTATAAAAGCTAGTGGGACAAGCCTAAGCTAAGGCCAAGAGTTTATAATTAATAAGTCTTCATGGTGTTATTTGTGAGCTGGTTAATCCAAAGAAAAACATGACTACACATACCACCCCCAAAAGGCAGTATTCCATTAAGTCGCCTTCTCCTGGCAAACCCAGTGCATGTGCTGACTCTCACACTACCCTAAGGTCACACTCATCCTGGTACTTCTCCAAGTACTTCTCCCAGCTTGACTCGGTATGCTCAGATGAATGGGGACAGGAGGACAGGGACCGCCCACCCACCACATTTAATTCTACCCTGCAGGATTTGTCCTGGAAAATTCTCCAAAGGCCAAGCAAAGGCTGGGAAATCCATATCCCTGCAATGAGAGGGTGTTTTAAGGATGGAGAGACTGGGAAATCCACATCTCTGCAATGAGAGGGGATTTTAAGGAGGGAGGTAGTGAACCACGTGGTGACTTTGGGAAGCAAAGGGTAAACCAAACCAGTGCTGAAGCCAGCTTCAGAAGTTCAGATTTGAGTTGTGAAATAATAGCAAGGCCGGGTCTATCTAGTGGCACAGGCCTGTGTCTCAGCTGTACAGCAGGATGAGACAGGAGGATCCTATCCAGTTCAAGGTCATTCTGGGAAATTTATTAAGTCACTGTCTCAAAGCAAAAGAGGATAGTGCCAGCTCTTGTTAGAAAATACCTAGGGTGAACAAGATCCTAGGTTTAATCATCAAAATCATTAAAATTAAATCAATCAATCAATCAATTATTTAAAAAAAAAAACACTTCAGGTAAGGGATGGTGGAATGAATATGACCTTAAAGAAAGAGGAATCTGATACTGATACACTGGAAAAAAGGAAATTAATAGGGGACCAGTGTGGGTGTTTGAAGGAGTAACTGGCTGCTACTGTATCACTGACATAAGGGATTTCAGCTGGGAGGGAAGGCTTCCTTAGAACCACACAAAGCATGATCCATGGTCAATGGCTTACTGCAAACAAGTACTGAAATGGATTCAATACAGTTGAGTGATGAACATGACTTACATACAATCAAGTTCTTGGTCGAAGCAGGAAAGAATGTTCCACAGGCCTGCTTCCAATTTTTCTTTGGCAAAGTTACACATTACTGGATTACAGTTCACAAAACAATTAGGAGGGAAATCATAGCTCCTAGACACCTGCTGTAAACAGGGAGTCCCGTGTATCCTGAAGAAATGCTGGGACCTCTACAACCGTTTTGGACTACAGGCAGGTGTACATAATTGAGGGGCACATGAGTGCTATTATCTGGTCACAGATGTGTAAGCATTTATGTAAGAAGATGCACAGGCCAGCTTACATCTACAAATGGAATCCTGGAACCCAGCAGTGAATGCAGGGAGTCCAGGGAGCTGGAATCCTACCAATGCAACACCACTTAACGATTGGAGGCCACCAGGTTCCATTTCCCCACCACCCAGTGACAAACATTTGGCTTGTTTGCTCAAGAATCACATCAAGAGAATTCAACTCAACTAGACTGGACATTTATTTTCAAGATTTATTTAATATGGACCTGCTGATGCGATCCTTAAGGAGGCATAGGCTCAGTTCACAGAGAAATGGAAAAGTCAGTAGGAAGGTTAGGCAGCGTGGCAGAGTTGGAACGCTTGGGTTGTGGTGCCACAAGGAAGAGAAGCCAGTCTGGGCAGCCACAGAAACAGAGGAAGTGGCTTTGAAATTGGTGTGGAATTCAACAGTTCACAATGTGAAAGGTTGTCTGGGCCAGGAATGATGGAACCTAGACTGGAAGACTGACTGGGAACAGGAGGCAGAGAGGAAATCCAGAAATGGCCCACCCCTGTCACAGCATCATCCAGCCCACCTTCTGAGAGCCACATGAAACACCTGTGTTTCCATGTGGCTCTCCGGCCATCCTAGGACCTCATTTCTTCTCAGGCCTCCCTAAGACCTCACTTCATTCTGTGAGCTTCCATTCCTGGGGATAGGTCTAGGGTAGGAAGGACCCACCTAATAAACTCAACTCCCCCATGCAGGATTTGATTGTGTGCTGGCAGCCATCTAAGAATGCAAAGCGCATGCCCCAGAGACTCTCCTCTCTCTACCTCAACTTGAATTCAAGATGTGGATGTTAAAGCTACCCAGGAATGGTTTTTCTTCTTACCCACCCATAGCCCCACCCCTACTGTAATCAGAGTCATTCCTCTGGGGAGAGCACCCTGTCCAGGCTCTGCATTAAAGGCTTTATCGTCAGTACCTGTGTGTGTGTGGGGGGGGGCAGATTTCTCTGCAAACAGGCTCTTGATGCTCCCACACTAGCAGGTGGCTCTTCGGCTGGTGATAAGCAGTGAAAACTGATCGCCAGAAGTGCCTAGCTTCCAGAGCTCAAAGCAACCTCACTCCTACCATGACAACTCCCTTGGCGTCCTTAGGGCACCCTGGATCGCTTGCTGCCACAGGGAGGATGGGGAGAGAGGTTTTAATTCCTAGATGGACCTTTCTGCTTTTCCACATGTGCCTCCAAGACCACTGGGCAGAGAAGCAGGGAGGTCAGTAACCCCGAATTTTCTAAATGTCACTTGACATAACTTCGCTTCAGTTTATTCTCCCAGTTGTCTTGCGAAGCAGAGAATATTCTCTTTGCAGGGGCAACACTAAGGTTCCGAGTTCAGTCATCTCCCTACCGCCACAGGGCTAGTGGGTAGCAATTCTGCCATCTGAAGTAAGCAGGAGAAGCGCTCCAAAGCTTACAGGCCTCCTGTTGTCACACCTGGACTCTCCACACACTCAGAAGTAGGTCTCTGTGTGTGTGGGGGGCGGGGGGAGGTCAAGGGCATGAGCCTCCATCTTTAGCAGAATTTCAAATGGCAGTTTATTGTTTGCAGCCATCAAACACTGTCCCATGACGCCTGCTGCAAAGGAAATTTACCATACAGCAGCTGTCCCTTCTCTCCCCCCCCCGCCCCCCCCACCCCCCCCCCCGCTCCCTTTCTTAAGGATAGGGTCAGTTTCTCTGAATGAGAGACTGCAAAGTTGTTTACAAAGGAGCAGGCCCCACCTGACAGCTATACTACTCACCCCCACCCCGTGGGGGTTATCTGATCCCCTTGTCTCCCAGAAGGTGAAGCTGGGTAAGAGGCAAGTAAACAGCAGCTGTAAGAGCTCAGAGTGGCAGCTTGGGTCCAGGGAGACTTGAGGGTAGGTAGAGGGAACCCAGCTGGATTCCCCAAGCCAAACTGCTGCCATCATCCCCAGGTCCATCATCTTAACTCCAAAATGAAGGAGAGAGATGCGGCTCCTCAGACTTCAGGGACATCCTCTGATATCAACACAAACAGCTCACTGTGGAGCCCCAACATTCTTGTTCTTTGTTAACCCCACCTTGGCCCAGCTGCCCATTCATGCTCCATCCAGCTTGGTGCCCCCTTTCCTATATCCATCTTTCAGTAGGCCAAGCCTGGGAACTTACCATGCACGGTGCCCACGCCCCTGCTGCTGCTGACAAGAGATTCTGGCCCACAGGGTGTGCAGGCAGGGTGAGCAGGCTCAGGGAGGGCTGGAGGTGGGGCTTTGGAGTCTTGCCTAGCCCCTAAGCTTAGCCACTCCACAGGCAGGACTGGGCCACACAGAAACCCTGGGGCTCCTTCAGCTGCCAATGGTTAATCTCCAGAAAGCATCGAAGTGGCCAGCTGCCAAGGCCCCCTAGCCCTTCAAAAAACTGAGCAAAGACTTGAGTCATTTGCAGTCATGCAGACTGTAACATTTCTTAAGTGCCAGCAGACTCCCCTCTGCTATGGCTGCGGACGAAGCCAGGTCTTAACACAGTCCACATGTCA